GATTTACAACTGTTGGCACCTCGAGCGCCACGCGTGGTTCATCAACGCGAAGACCGAACGGATGATCGGCCCGAGACCACAACCCGAAGCGTGCGAGACTGGCGGGTGTGGCAAGCCGGATTGCCAGTGCGTTCACGAATGAATGTCTAGTAAAAGAATCAGACTTCAAAGAACTCACGGAGTTGCTTGTACGCGACTCCGTATTCCTTGACATGCGATCCGGGACCAGCAGATTGTGCTGGTTCTAGATCAGCGGTGAGTTCGTCGCTGAGTTCTTCACCCAGTGCGTCTGCGAGTTGGCGCAGTACTGACTTTGGATCATTCATAACTTGGTCATACTGGATGTTGATGACCTTGGCGCCGACGCGTTCGTCGTTGAGCACGCTGGTCCAGTGATCCATCAGCCGTCCGGTATCTTTCACATACGACGCGGTCGAGATTAGATCTCCGGCGTATGGATGATTCCCCGGCATTTCATCGCAGTAAATCGCGAGGGACTCTTCTATCGGATCGCGTCGGCAGTTAATGATGGTCACTCCCGGCAGAGCCATCGCGACACACCCAACGAGCGGTGTGTTCCCTGGATGTGTGTCCACTGTCCGCATACCCCCCATCCGCGCTGCCGCATCACACTGCCGTGAGTATCCTGCGGCGAGTTTGCCGATTTGATCGCCTCGGTGACCTCGTGGGGTTGGGACCAAGGCGCGGAGCACACCTCGCGCCGCGTTGAGTTGGGTAGCGCACAACATACCGAGTGATTCAATCGGTCCAATGTCGACGGTGTTTGGCAGTCGATCAAGCAGGTTCATCACCTCAGGAATCCCTGAATGGATTGAGCCGCAAAGGAGCACACGGCTTTTACCAGGGGTTCCGGGTGGACGCATAAGCTTATCGATTTCTTCTGCTGTCCAGCTTTCGATGAGACGGGAACTCATCTTTGCATGGACTTCAGCGTTGTACGCGCCACGGCGGAGTTTTGCGGCTCTGCGATACGCATTGAATGCGTCGCTGTAATCGCCGAGCGCGTCACAGAGCGTTCCCTCAGCTCGCAGCAATGCCATCAGATTCGCCGCTCCGATTCCCGTTTCATTGACGAGAGTCGCGATCTGTTCCTTGCATGATCGCATGCGATCAGTATCTTGCTTTTCAGCATCAACCAGGACCTTTGCATAGCTAATCATTAATGGGATGTCATCAAGCTTGCGCGCCAAGCCGTCGTCGATGAGCTTGATCGCTTCGTCGGTGTTACCCAAGTTGGATTGGACCTCAGCGATCGCGGCGATCGCATCACCTCGATCGGGATCCATATCGATCGCGAGTTGGATTTCTTCGATCGCATCCTCGTGCTCTCCGAGTGCGCTGAGCGAGCGACCGATCTCTGTTTGGAGTCTGATGTATTGATCCACGATTCGAGGACGCGCTGGGTTCTCAGCTTCATCCTCGTCTTCGAGTGATTGGAGGGTGAGATGAGAGGATGCACGCATATCTGAGATCGCTGGTTCGTGCAAGCCGAGCTTCGCGAGGGTAAAGCCGTGGATCGCGAGGATTGGTGGTTCTTCTGGGAAGTGTGCTTTGAGCTTTCCAGCGCGCTTTGATGCTTCAAACACATCGCCCACTGCAAGGAGTTTCTTTGCTTGTTCGAAGAAATCCTTCGGAGTGGGTTGTTGCTGTGCTTGTGCGGGATTGGGTTGCATGTGTTTGATCTCGCTGTCGTATGAATGTGCTGGCTGAGCAGCTTCTGGTTAATCGTTCGCGGTCTCGCAAATCAGGTCCCCGAGCCCTTCGAGGAGCGGGTCAATATGACCAGCATAGCGTTCGTAGCGTTTGGTGGATGACTTGTAAATTGGTTGGCGGACCTGATCGTTGCTGAGTGTGAGCGCGACGCGTCCCGACTGATGGAAGTTCATACATGCTTCATCAAACTCAAGGCCAACAAAGTCGAGCAACGCTCTGGTTTTTGCCTCTTGATCTGCGACTGTGTCTTCGTACTGGTTATCGAAGACCGGGACGCCCACTCTTGGATCCCTAAGGACTTGGGTATAGTGCTCAGTTACTTCGTGGTAGTGGCGATAAAACAGGCCGCAGTTCTTGAGATCGAAACTGTAGGAATGCCCTGGGTTGAGCGCTTGAAAGAAACACGAGAGACAGTTATCGCGTGCTTCACGCTTGCAGTGGATGATTTTCGCATCGGGGAACGCGAGGGCAATCATGCCCATATACCAAAAATTCATCGGCGCTTTGTCCACGATGATCTCAACCGATGGGTTGTCCGCCATCGCGATCGTCTCGCGGCGATAGATCTTTGCGAGCTGCGCGATCTGCTTTGGGTCATACTCATCTGGGCTTGTTTTGTAAGGATTCTCAGGATTGGGGGCTACTTCCCTGAAGAGCTCTGAGATCAGACCCAGTTCCCCAGCTCCAAAACCCTTGGGATGCGCATCAAGAATCTGCTCAGTGAGCGTTGTCCCGGATCGGGGCATGCCCAGAATGAATACAGGACGAGGCACCCCCGGATCGGGGCGCTCGACGCCTTCAAAACGATCCGCTGTCCAAGCCTCCTTGAGACACTTTACCTGCGCCGCGATTCGCCCTTCGGAGTAGATTGCGGGCACAGCGTTGTTTGCTTTGGTGAAAGCATCTATTGCCTCGTCATAGCGTTTCGCACGATCATAAAGATGTCCGAGTGCATTGAATGCCTTGTTCGCATATGGGACATCTGGTGACTCTAGTTCTTTCACAAGCCCTTCGATCAGCTCGATCCCCTCTTCAAGACGATCACTCCGCAATACGGCTCGTCCAAAGACAGAAGCGATTGAAAGTGTCATCATCCCTCGCTCTTTCGCATCCTCAACGAGTTTGATGGCTTCTGCTTTCTGATTGTTAAGCAGGAGCACATGACCGAGCCCGGAGACGAGCGTGGACTCATCTGGTTGACGGATGATCTCGTCGCGCATCAACTCGATCGCATCATCAAGATTCCCGGTCTGCGTGAGTCCCTCGGAGAGGGTGTTCAGGACGGCGACTCGATGGGGTTTGTGAGTTATGTGACGCAGTGCCCGCCGTGCGATGGTGGTGCCTTCTTCGGGCTTCTGCAATCGAAGCAGCACACTCACATGGAGCGCGACAATCGGAGGGAAATGCGGGTTTCTGTTATAGAGCTGAGAAGTCGTCCGATAAGCGGCACGGTACTGACCTGAGTCGTACTGCTCGCGTGCTTTCTCGTAGGCTTCCTTGGTGCTCACAACGGGCATTGACATCCTCCATACACCGAACAAAGGATCGGGCCGCGATCCGATGAGGGTATCATGCTCACATCGACCAATCGCAGGCATAACCTTATACCTATGCGCCAGATCACGCTCATCTCTACCGGTGGAACCATCGAGAAAACCTACGATGAGCACGCCGGAACGCTCACAAACCGCTCCTCAATTGTCCAAGAGATGCTCAGGCTGCTCCGGCTCGAAGATACGCAGGTCAACACGCTCCAGCTGATGCAGAAAGATTCTTTGGATCTCACTGATGCGGATCGGGCTCGGATTCTCGATGCCGTGAGGTTAGTTATTGGTCCAACGACAGATGATCCCCTCAATGATCCAAATGGCTGCCGCGGGGTCGTAATCCTGCATGGGACGGACACGCTATGTCAGACCGGGGAATGGCTCTATCACTCGCTTGTGGAGAATGCGACCCCAGAGCACAAGCTAGCGGTGCCAGTAATCCTGACTGGTGCCATGCGGCCCTTTGAAATGAAACGATCCGATGCGCTACAGAACCTCAACGAGTCCATATTCGCGGCGACGATTCTTGAACCTGGTGTGTATGTCGTCGCACACTCCAAAGCGTTGAGCTTCCCTGGACCAATGAAAGATCGTGAACGCGGGACATTCATCAAACGCTGATCGAGACTCCGAAACTGTGCACTGTGTTGTGTGCGAATCTAAATCCGAACTCAACGATAACGTTCTGGATGATTGATCGCTCCAAAGCGTGGGTTTGAACCATTGCGTGCAAAGCCCTGAGCGTCTGAGATGTCATAGAGACGATAGTAGTCGGCGCGTCGATTCGCTCGGACATAAATGTCCCATGATGTGAAACCGGTATCGCCGTAGGACTGAGTGGGATCGTCGTTGGTAAATCCTTCAGGAGGCGCAAAGACACTCACATGCCCGTCCTTGAAGTATGTGGTTCCCCCGCCATTGTGTCGCGTCGTCCATTGATCCACATTACCCCACTCCCCGTCCGTTGAACCTAGATCGGAGTGGTTGTTGAACCACCATGAGCTCTCCTCGATGATGATGGGGAGTCCTTCCATGCGAGCAACCATCCCGTCTTCCATGAGTTGCGCAATCTGCTGGCTGTTGTATTGATCTACATCAGGAGCCGGTCCTTCGAACATATAGACATCGAATTCAGTCTGGCCTTTCGCTCCCTGAGCAGGTGCATTAAAGGTGTAATCGAAGTTCAGCTCACCATCGCCGTAGACATTACGAAACCGGATGGTGTCGGGATTTTCAGAGATGCCGTGCGGATCTTTGCGTTTGTTTTTGGGACATTCAACGATCTCGGTTGCATTGTCAACATAGTCGAGAAGGAGTCCGGCTCCTCTCCTGCGGTTGCCTTGGTGGTTGTATGTATACGCCCAGTTGATGAGGTTGAGGTCTCCGCGATTATTACGAGGCCCCTTAGTGGTAGTGAACAAACCTGTAGGCATGGAATGTCCGTGGTAGTCCATCCCATACAGAGCGTCCGCGACACCAAGCTGCCGCATATTGGACAAACAAACTGTCTGCTGTGCCGACTGCCTTGCTTGCCCTAGAGCAGGCAAAAGAATCCCAATCAGCAACGCAATGATCGCGATAACCACGAGAAGTTCAATGAGAGTAAATGCTTTTGTTGATTTGCCGAACAGGCTTAGAGAGCTGTCACGCAACATAGGACCTCAGATCTGAAAGTGACAGCGTACTCGACCCTACCTTTTTTTGCCATCAAATTACCCTTTAATCGCATCCCGCTCCATAGAGCTGAAGATAGTGAGAAACATCCAAGAAGTTGAGCGCGCCGTCATTGTTGAGATCGGCTATGCATGAATCGTTTGGATCGTCCACCAGTCGAACAGCGATTGTAAAAGCACCAAGCCGCTGCCCCTCTGGGTCTGTAAATCCAGCGGCTAGGTTCCAAGTGATTGTGGCACCTGTATCCGCTGTCAGCGCGAAGACTGCTGTAGACACACCTGTATCCAGAGCGTAATCCATCGGATCGTCTGGGAGAGACGTCATCGATCCGCTGAAAGGACCGACTGGATGTGATATCCCGAACAGCTGCGATCCCGAAGCAAGCACGAGCACACCTGTTGATGAGTTATAAATCATGCTCTCTGCGAGCGGGACATCGAGGGTCTTTGATTCGAACCTCATCGGCGTGAGCTGAGCACTGAGCGTTGAGTGGACTGATTCGGCGGAGATCGCATCAAAGTAGATCACATCCCCTTGCTTGCGTGAAGGTGGAGCGGCGGTGTCAAAGACGAGCTGGAAGTCCACCGGGATCACGCGGTCATTGACTGAATCATCAACGACGCCCTGGACATGGAACTCCATGAAAGGCTGCGTCGCAGCTGCGGAAACAAACGGCGTCATCAGAACGCTGGCAAGGATAATGGATCTCATTCCCGAATCTCTCCTGACACGGTGCCAAACACAACAACTCGTGTCTCAAAGACTATCGGCTTAGAGAGATGGCTACAAGACGAATCTTGACCAGTCCCCCCAAAATCAGCGCCGTCCGAGAACATCCAGACCCAGCATTGCTGTATCAGTCAGGATTGAACATCACACACCTCGTCCACACTCGGACACGAGCACACGAGGTTGCGGTCGCCGTAGGGGTTGTCCACGCGTCCCACAGGTGACCAGAACTTGAATCGTCGCAGATGCTCGGCGGGATACGCCGCGACGTCGCGTGAGTATGGATGCGTCCACTCATCCGCTCCGATCGCGGCGATCGAGTGCGGCGCGCCCTTAAGCGGATTGTCGTCCTTGGGCATCTTGCCCTCTTCAATGTCGCGGATCTCGTTGCGGATCGTGATGAGCGCATCGCAGAAGCGGTCGAGCTCCGCTTTTGATTCCGACTCCGTCGGCTCGACCATGAGCGTGCCGGGGACGGGCCAACTCATCGTTGGCGCGTGGAATCCGAAGTCGATCAAGCGTTTCGCGATGTCATCAATCTCAATCCCCGCGGACTTCTTAAACGCTCGGCAGTCCATCACGAACTCGTGCGCCACGTGTCCGCGAGCACCGCGGAAGAGGATGTCGTAGTGATCCTTGAGACGCTCGGCCATGTAGTTCGCGTTGAGGATCGCGACCTTGGATGCTTGCGTCAGTCCACGCTTACCCATCATCGCGATGTAGACCCACGAGATCGGGAGGATGCTCGCGGACCCTTCCGGTGCAGCACTGACCGCGCCGACCGAGCCACCGGTGCTTGGGTTGCGGACTGGGTGTCCCGGAAGGAAGGGCTTGAGTTTGTCATTGACCCCGATCGGTCCCATGCCTGGTCCACCACCGCCGTGGGGGATGCAGAAGGTCTTGTGGAGGTTCAGGTGACAGACATCAGCGCCGTAGTCACCTGGTCGGCAGAGACCGACCTGCGCGTTCATGTTCGCGCCGTCGAGGTAGACGAGCCCGCCCTTGTCGTGGACGACCTGGATCATCTCGCGGATCGAGTCATCGAACACGCCGCAGGTTGATGGGTAGGTGATCATCGCGGCCGCGAGCGTGTCCTTGTGTTTCTCGGCTTGTGCGACGAGGTCTTCAAACACGATCGTTCCCGATTCATCGACCTTGACCCCGACGACCTTCATCCCCGCGACGACCGCGGATGCGGGATTCGTGCCGTGGGCTGAGGTTGGGATCAGACAGACATTGCGCTGCGTGTCGGTTCGGCTCTCGTGGTACGCCTTGATCGCGAGCAATCCCGCGTACTCGCCTTGCGATCCCGCGTTGGGCATCAGCGACACGGCTTCAAATCCAGTGATCTCCGCGAGCCATGCTTCGAGCTGCCTGAACAACTCGAAGTATCCCTCGCACTGGTCTGCCGGCGCGAAGGGATGCATGTGCGCGAACTCGCGCCATGAGACTGGGATCATCTCGCTCGTCGCGTTGAGCTTCATCGTGCACGATCCGAGCGGGATCATCGAATGCGCCAGCGACAGCTCACGCGATTGGAGCTCGGAGATATAACGCAGCATCTCGGTTTCTGAGCGGTGTGTGTTGAACACCTCGTGGGTCATGAACGCGCTGGTGCGCTCGAAGACTTCCGGGATCTCCATCCATGCTTGCTCGCTCAGCGCATCAAAGCTGCACGTACCATCGCAACCGAACGACGCGAGCAGGTCCATGACCAGTTGCTCGTCGCCCGTTTCATCCATCGTGATCCCGAGCGTGCCGTCACCGAATTCGCGGAGGTTGATCCGCAGATCGCGAGTGGCTTTGAGGACCGCGTTCGGATCTCCGTTGACCTTGACGCGGAGCGTATCGAAGACCAAGTCTTCGTCGATCTCGTGTCCGAGCTCGAGCAGTCCGGCGCGCAGGGTTTGAGTGAGGTGTCGGATGCGCTGTGCGATTGCTTTGAGTCCGTCGGGGCCGTGGTAGACGCCGTACATCGACGCGATCACAGCAAGGAGCACCTGTGCCGTGCAGATGTTGCTCGTCGCGCGATCGCGCTTGATGTGCTGTTCGCGTGTCTGGACCGCGAGGCGCAGCGCTGGTTTGCCCTGCGAGTCGATCGAGACACCCACCAATCGGCCGGGCATTTTGCGGACATGCTCCTCGCGCGTCGCCATGTATCCCGCGTGGGGTCCGCCGAATCCCATCGGGACCCCGAAGCGTTGAGCGGAGCCGACGACGATGTCCGCGCCCTTCTCGCCCCACTCTCCGGGAGGTTTGAGCAGCGTGAGCGCCAGCAGATCCGCGGCTGCGACGACCATCATGCCGTTCGCATGCGCTTCGTTGGTGAGCTTCTCGTAGCACTCGACTCGACCATCGGTGGTTGGGTACGAGACGAGCACACCCGCCGCGTCAGGATTGCTCATGTCGAAGGATTCGACATCCCCCACCACGACCTCCACACCGATCGACTTGGCGCGCGTCTGTACAACAGCGATCGTTTGTGGATGACAGTCATCCGCGACATAGAACACCTTGCGCTTGTCACGCAGGATCGAGACGCACATCGACATCGCTTCTCCGGCGCTCGTCCCCTCGTCGAGCATCGAGGAGTTGGCGAGCGGGAGTCCCGTCAGGTCGCAGACCATCGTCTGGAAGTTGAGCAGCGCTTCGAGCCGACCCTGTGCTGTCTCTGGTTGGTACGGCGTGTACTGCGTGTACCACTGCGGATTCTCGAACACATTGCGGAGGATCACGCCGGGAGTGACGGTCCCGACATACCCCATCCCGATGCACGAGCGGAAGACCTTGTTCTTGACAGCAATCTCGCGCAGATCACGCAGCAGCACGCGCTCGTTGCGAGCCGCGGGGAGTTCGAGTTCGCGATCCATACGGATCGCGGCGGGAACGACCTGATCGATGAACGAGTCCATATCCGCCGCACCCACCGCGGCGAGCATCGACGCGACTTCCGAGTCGTCGGGACCAATATGCCGTCCCACGAACGCACCAAATCCAGCCCCCTCTTGATCAGTCTGGGCAACCACATCAGTCATCGTCATTCCACGCTCCAAATAAGCCACTCGATCCGTCTTCGCCCTACCAGCGGGGGAGGACGCAATCATAGACCCGCGGCACCGATCTTCCCCTCAAAATCTGCCCAGTGGAAGACCGGACTAGCATTGAGCGGAGGTGTGATTTGGACTATTGGCTAATCCAGTTGGACGGCGATCCGAATCGAGTCATTCGTCAGCCCTATGACTCTGATGGCTACTACTGCCCAATCTGCGCGAGTTTTGATAGAGAAATTGCACCCTATGACAAAGATTGGGGACATTCGCACGAAGTCTGTCCGGACTGTAAGTTCCAACCAGGATTCGACGAATGGCAAATGCCTGACTGGAACCTTTCCTTTGACGACTACCTCATGGCCTATCGCATCAACTGGCTCGATGGTGCCGGATGGAAAACGGAGTACCTCGCGCGTCTCAAGCAAGTCCTTGGGATAGACGAACCCAAACTCCGCGAGCGTGAAGACGAACTGCGTGCGGAATGGAAGCGCTGCTGGGATAACCGTGGAGCAAGAAACAATCAGGCTGCAATCAACCGCGCCGAAATGAACAAGCCCGATTCTGAGTAATCAGTACCGAAGCACCGAATGCACATCCCCGAAATCCCCCAGCCGTTTGCTGCCTTCGAGGAACTCCAGCTCGATCAGCACGGCGATCCCCTCGATCACGGCTCCGGTTTTCGCCACCAAGCCGCACGCGGCTTCCATCGTGCCGCCCGTTGCGAGCAGGTCGTCGACCATCAGGACCTTAGTTCCTGACGCGAGCGCGTCTTGATGGATTTCGAGCGTGTCTGTGCCGTATTCGAGGTCATACTCGGCGCGGTGCACGGCTCGTGGGAGCTTCCCGGGCTTGCGGACAGGGACGAATCCCGCGGAGAGCGCTTGAGCGATCGCGATCCCGAAGATAAAGCCGCGGGACTCGGCGCCGACGACGAGGTCGATCCCTTTGCCTCTGTAGGGATTGGCCATGAGTTCCACAGCGAGCGCCAATGCTCCGGCGTCTCCCAGCAGCGGCGTGAAGTCCTTGTAGATCACCCCTGCTTTGGGGAAGTCTGGGACATCGCGGATTAGGTTCTCAAGCCGAGCGACGGCTTCTTCGTTGTGCATCGAGTACTCCTCTGCAGAACCCCATCCTACGCGATCAAAACCAGAGCCTTGTGCGAATCCGCAAAAGTCAGTACGATATTCCAGACCACATTGTCCGATTGTTCGAGGTTCAGGAATCCGCCGTGCAGCTCCCTCCGATGCGTCCCAAGTTTGAGTTCACTTTCCCGATCGTTCCTGATCACGCGATCGAGCTGCTTGAGTCCATCATGGACAACAACGACCATCCGATCGAGGGACGCTCTGCCGGGAATCACCTCATGCTTGTGATCCCGATCAAGGATCGTCACTTCTGGTCGCCTTGGCTCAACCTTGAAGCGCGTCCCTACAAACCCAATCCGGATTCGGAACTCATCACGCACATCAAGGGACGCTTCTCACCCAATCCATCTGTATGGACCGGATTCATGATGACCTACTCATCGCTCGCTGTGCTCGCGTTCCTTGCGGTGATTTTCGCACTTTCGCAGATCATGATGGACGATTCACCTTGGGCGTTGCAAGCGTTGATCCCGCTTGCAATCATCGCTGGCGTGATGTACTGGTCGTCGCTTGTGGGACAGAAACTCGCGCAGGAGCAGATGCAGTTGCTGTATCGCGTCACACTCGAAACGCTTGCGGATGGATCAGGCATCCAGGTACTCAACCATCCCACTGATCCGATTGATTCGCATCAGTCTGAGCACGCAATCCCTGAAATCACGCTCGTGAAGACTGATTCCAAAGCTTTGGAAACCAATCCCGATCCTGTGCCGTAGACTTGGATATGAACAAGTTCATTCCCATCGTCCTGCTTTCGATTACCATGCTCCTGACGCTCGGCTGCGAGACGGCGAAGCGTGATGAGGAACCGATCCGCGTAGATGCGGAGCCGCACGCGAATCTGGTCAAGCAAGCGAAAGAAGATTGGTCCTGGATCTCAGGGACGACCTGGATCGCGACCTCTATCGAGGGACAAGAGCCGCTCAAGGACACTTCGCTCTGGATCCGCTTTGAGGATCACACATGGATGTCAGGGAGCGCCGGATGCAATCGCATCTCCGCAAGCTACGAGAGACGAGGCATCGACGGGCTCCAGATGTCGCAGATCGCATCCACACGGATGCATTGCGCCCAACCCAAAGGCACGATGCAGCAGGAATCACGATTCCTCCACTTGCTCGCAAACATCGACGCGTACCACGCAGAGCCGGACACGCTGAGCTTGTCCACGAACGCGATCACGATGTTGACTTTCAAGCGTCTTGAGATTGAGAAGTAACGCGCTGTTCATCTGACAGCAATCTTGCAAATTCAAGGATTCTCTTGACATGGCTGCATCTGGCCCGCATACTATGCCGTACATAGTATGCAGAACATACCTTTTTAGGGAGCTCCCATCAATGAAACTGGAACGCGAACTCATGCGTGGCGCTGGACCAACCGCGGTGCTCAAGCTGCTCTCGACACAGTCGATGTACGGCTATCAGCTCGTGGAGTCTCTCGCAAAGCAGTCCAACGGCGTGCTGGCGATGGGACAGTCCACGCTGTATCCGATGCTCTACAACCTCGAAGCGAAGGGGCTCATCGAAGCGGAGTGGCAGGAAGCTCCGAGCGGACGCAAACGCAAGTACTACAACCTGACGGGCAAGGGGAAAAAGAAGCTCAAAGCCGACCTCGAAGCGTGGAAGAAACTCACCGGCGCGATGAGCAGTCTCGGAGTCCTCCCGGGCTCCGCGGCGAGCATGGACGCAGGGGCGACGGCATGAGTCCTTCACTGAGCAAAGCATGGAACTGGTCAGTGGAGAAGTCGCCGCTGCTGAATATCTCGCGCTGGATCATCCATCGCGGATACCCCAACACGCTCGCACGCACCGAGATCGAGGCAGCTCAGCTCCCAAGTGAGCTCGCGGAGCTGATCGACACCACTGTCCGGCGGACCAAGCTCTGGCGCTCCGAGCGAGCCGAGATCGCGATGGAGCTCATCACCCACACTCAGGATGCGTTGGAATCTGGGAAGTCTCCGGACGAGATCATCAGCAGCTTCGGGAATCCCAAGAAGGTCGCGAAGCTCCTTCGGAGATCTACCAAACGCAAGCGTCCGCTCTACTGGAGGACGCTCCGAAACATGCGCCGCGCGATCGGTGCGGTGTTTGTGCTGTTCTTTGTGGTGTATAGCGTGCAGCTTGTCCGCTATCTCACGGGCGAGCCCAACATCAAGACCAACTACGCACAAATCATCAACTCCTACAACGAGGCGTACACGGAGGATGAAAAAGCCTGGGAGATCTACAACCAGACAAACATCGCGTGGAATGCGCTCAGCTCCCCGATCCAGGATCAGCAGCGCGAGGAAGTACGCATATACAATGACAATCGCGCCAACTTGGAGGATGACGATGCGGAACCGATGAGTACCGGATTCCGCATGATCCCGCGGGTCCCAACGGATCACCCCCAGTACGAACAAACGGCACAGCTTGTCCGAGACTTCTCAGACGAACTGAACCAACTCCGCGCCGCGTGCCATCGGCCGATCATTGGGATCAATCTGGGATTCGATCTTGAGATCACGCCGCCTGACGGGAACCCACATGACATACGCATGGTTCCTCCGAATTCCAATCCCGATCTCCATCCAACGCTTATAGAACTGCTTCTTCCGCATCTCGGCGGCATGCGTCGATTCGCGAATCTCATGTACTTCGATATGCTTGTCGCCGCGAGGGAGGGTGATTCTGATCGTGTATACGAGAACCTCTCGGCGATGCTCGCGATGACGCGGCAGAAATCCTTCGACGGCACCATCATCGCTGATCTCGTGAATATCGCGATCGCGCATCTCACAGAAAACGCGATGAAGCAAGTACTCAACGAATACCCAGACTCGCTGGCTAGGTCGCACCTTGTCGCATTGTCTCACGAAGTCACGCTTGTGCGTCCCGCTTTGCACATGTCATTTGAGGGCGAGCGGATGATGTTCAACGATGTCCTTCAGCGTACCTATACCGACGATGGAAACGGGAACGGAAGACTCACCAAGCACGGCTCGCAGATCCTCATAGGACTCAATAGCGATCACATTTTACACGAAGAGTTCTCGATCAAACCGGCCCAGCTCATCACTGGACCGATCGCGCTCAGTCTCGTGCCGGATCGCAAGTCTCAGTACAACACATACCACACGATGATGGACCTCGTCGATGAAATCCAAGAACGAGGTCCGGAATATCTACCAAAGCTGGAAGCCCACGAGCGTCAGGTCGAGCGAGCGTTCAATAACGGACCCCAAGTCCTTGACAACCTGATCATGGGTCCAGCGGAGTTGCTTATGCCGGCGCTCTCGAGAGCTGTTGATCGTGTGTTCTGGTCGCATATGACGCATGACGCGACCAAGACCATGCTCGCGATTGAGATCTACGCTCGCGACCACGGCGCGTACCCAGAGACACTGAGTTCACTCACTCCGAACTATCTCCCCGAACTCCCAGCGGACTCATTCAATCCTGGACACACGATGAAGTACCGCACCACAGAGTCCGGATACATCCTCTACTCGGTTGGTTCAGACGGCGATGACGACTCAGGCGAGACACAAGACGACAGACGACGATTCCCTGAGTTTGAGGATCGATTCCCTGGGAAGTTTGATGCACAACGAAATCTCATCCTCGACGGTACGGGTCGTCCCGTGCATGCTGAGCCAGCTGGTCCCGACGGGGATTGGATTCTCATCGAAATAGACCGAGCACCAATAGAACAAGAGCCGGACCAAAGCCCGGCTCTTGAGAGTCTCAACTGATTTCATTCCATATCTGGATTGATTATTCGTACCCGTCGCGGGTCTGGATCTCGAAGTTGTGGATCGAAGCGATGTCCTCGATGGACTTGCTTCCAAGGTCCTCGAATCGAGCGACGATCGGCGACGGGTCTTCAAACGCGAGCTTCCCGAGCAGATTGAACTTGTGCGCCAGGATGCCGCGGAGGTCCGCTTCGGTGTTGCGAGCGTGCCCGCCGGGGTACATGACCATGCCGGACTCGAACTCGGTGCCATCGGTGTCTTCGATGATGACGGAGGTTGGGATCCCGTCGGGGTAGCGGTCGTCGTATTCCTTGCCGCCGTGGAAGAACTCGATCTTGTCCATGAGTGAACGTGTGCGTTCGTTAACGATCGCTTGCGGCGAGTAGTCATACGGCTCGAGCATCAGCTCGGTCCATCCCGCTTTCTGCTGAGTCAGCGCCTTGCGGAGGAGGGTGCCGACGATGTAGACCATCGAGTGGTCCGCGCTCTGGCGCGTCGTTGGGTTACGCTTCGCTGGATCGCCGATGATCCCGAACGCGGGCTCGTACGCGGTGATCTTGATGGACTTGATCTTCGAGCCGGTCTCGTCGTCGAGCAGGTGCGGTGCTTTTTCGAGCAGATCGAGCATTGCTTGGAGAGCGCCGGCGCTCTGGTGCTCGTAGAGACCGAGCTTAAAGTGCATACCCATGACGGCGAAGTCGTCGCCGCCTTGCGCGAGTGTGAGCGTGAATGGGGACGCGTCGGCGTCTTTCGTGTTGCCCGCTTCTTTGCCCACCGCTTGGAACATCTGTCCCGGACCTTCGAAGATTCGGAAAATCGCTTCTGGGTTGCGGAAGATGTCGCGAGGTCCCATGAACCCCGACATGCTTCGGCGGACCGCCATGATCGCGACCTCGGTCGAGATCGCGGCGCTGGCGCCCTTGGAATCGCTGAGCTGCTTCCCGGCACGGATCGCGCGGAACGGGATGTAGTGCGCCACGACCATGCCGATCGCGGATTCGATCTGCTCAGCGGTCGCGCCCATCATTGCGCCAAAGACCGCGGCTGATCCGATCGCGCCGTGGACGACGTGGTCAACCTTGTACGTCTTGAGCGAGAACACCTCGGACAAACGACCTCGGATCTCGTCGAGACAGACCATCGCTTTGAGTGCGTAGGCACCGTCGCGTTCGGTCATCTGTGCGCCAGCAATGCAGACGCCGTAGAAGTCGTTGTGTCCGAACTCGCCCGCGAGGTTGCCGAGCTTTGGGTTGTAACCAAAGTTGGTCCCGTTGGAGTCCCACTCGCGGACGGCTGAGCCGTTGGCGAGGATTGCTTTTTCTGGTTGGACCTGGACGTCGCTCCCGAACACGGTGGCGCCGCGCTTCACCGATTTGCCGAGACGATGGGTCGCGTCGGTGACGGGGTACTGCAGCGCTTCGTTCCGCAGGATCGTCGGCGCGTTGGTCTTGAGCGCGAGGGCTGACAGTCCACAGATCACGGCATCGGTGAAGAACAGGTTGGTCCGTTCGAGCACGGCCGCGGACGGATCGCCACGCTTGGCGGGGTCGTCACTGAGAAAGTCAATCGCGTACTGCGCGATGCCCAACGCTTGGTTGGTGTCGGCAGCAAGAGTCACAAAAGTATCCGCGGCGGTCGAGGTCGGCATGTCGATTCCTTCAAATGGTTGCTCGTCCGGGCTAAAAACGTGTCAATCTGCCCGAAACAGGAAGGAATCATAGCCCGAGATCCGCTCGGATTCAGGGGCTCGTGCGCCCCTTGTCGTGCTCAGATATCGGCTTTAGCCGAATGCAAACAATCGCTATTCGCGCTCGAGCGACCAGGGCAGCATCTCCGAGCCGTGCCAGGTCATGGTTCCCGGCTCATACTCCTCGAACGCCGCGGCGTGCCCGTCGAAGAAGAACAGGTTGCTCTTCCCGTAGTGAGGCACCAGTTCCCCATCAAAGAACACGGCGGGCTGGGTCGCATCGTCGAGATCGCAGTCTGGTTGTCGGCTCGGATCGGTCACGGAGCCGTAGGGCGCGATGTAGAGTCCGGGATAATTGCAATCCCCTCCCATCACGAAGCGACTGGGGAAGTAGACGTACCGCTCGCGGACGGAGGTGAACTGACGCTGGAACCGATCCCAGCTGAAACGGGCGGCGATGAAATACGCGCTGGGAGCGGACTCATCGGGACGCGATGGATCGAGGTACACCTCGCGGCTGCTGAGGTAGCTATCGAGCAGCTCGGTCCATCCCAGTCCGGGCTCGTCGCCTCCGACTCCGTCGCCCTCGCCACCGTAGACCTGCCAGCCGGACCAGTATGGGAACCACCCCTTGTTGTCATCGGCGTACATCGTCTGACCCGTCGCGATCGAGCGGACGTTGACGAGGCATTTGACCTGTCTCGCAGAGTCCCGCGCCCTTGAGAGCGCGGGGAGGAGGATGCCCATCAGCACCGCGATGATCGCGATGACCACGAGCAGTTCGATGAGTGTGAACCCTCGCCGAAAAGTTCTGTTGATTTCCATGTCTGTTGTCCCCGCTGATCAAGCGTTGAGCGTCTTTGAAGAATGTATCGGCAATCCCCTTGATTCCAAACACTCTTCACGAAACTCGACCAAAAAAATCGTCTCAATGAGACGACACGTAGACCAACAATTCTATCTTGATTCACACTCAGCAACAGAGTGACGTGTGATGAGTCATCACCAAGCGACAGTGTTGCCCGCATAATCGACAAAGCGTCCGCTGTCGTCAGCCGTGAGTTTCTCGAGCGTGTCAAGGATTGATGAAGCCGATTCATCAGTTGATAGATCCGCGTGGGGTCCACCCAGGTCCGTGCGCACCCATCCCGGATGCACGCTCACGCATGTGATCCCGCGTGGTTTGAGCTCGTGTGCGATGGTCGCCGTAGCCATGTTCAAGCCGGCCTTTGCGATGCGGTACCCCAGCGATCCTTGCCGTCCTGTGCTCGCGTCTGTGATGCTCCCCAGATCGCTGCTGATCTGCACCGACATCTTGCGCTGCGAGCGCTCAAGATGCGGGATCAATGCACGCAGGACCAGCAGCGGCCCGAGCGTGTTGGTCTCGATCGTCTGCGTGAAGGAATCAGGATTGAAGTCTTCGAGCTCATCGCAATCGTGCAGGAAGATCCCGGCGTTGTTGACCAGCACATCGATCGCATGGTCTCCGAGTCTCGCCGCGAGCGCCTTGCAGGTCTCATCCGAGTCGGCAACGAGCTGCTCGACGCTTGCGCCGGTTGCTCTGAGTTCTTCAGCTGCTTCTGGATTACGAGCCGTGCCGATGACTGAGTATCCGCGTTGGGCGGCGTGCTGAGCTAGACTCAACCCGATGCCGCGATTCGCGCCTGTGATGAGGATAGTGGTCATGAGCAATGGTAGGCGAGCGTAGTTCAGACCATAAAAAACGCCCCCAATTCGGAGGGCGATCTGAGTTTAAATGGTCTTGTGTGTTAGCACATCTCGACGCACATCGCGACCGCGTTGCCGCCGCCGAGACAGAGAGCCGCGACGCCCTTCTTGCCTCCGGTGCGCTTGAGCTGATGGATGAGCGTGACCAGGACGCGAGCGCCGGACGCACCGATCGGGTGACCCAGCGCGACGCCGCCGCCGCAGATGTTGAGCTTGTCTTCGCTGATCCCGAGTTCCTTGATGTTGCAGAGGACCTGAGCCGCGAACGCTTCGTTGATCTCGTAGAGATCGACATCGTCGATCGACCATCCCGCTTTGTCCAGAGCGCCCTTCACGCCCTCGATCGGAGCGGCGAAGATGTCCTTGGGATCGACACCCGAGGTGTTGTACGAGACGATCTTGCAGAGCGGAGCGAGTCCGAGCTCGCTTGCTTTGGATTCGCTCATGACGATGGTCGCCGCGGCGCCGTCGCTGATCTGCGATGCGTTGCCTGCGGTGACCGAGCCGTCCTTGGTGAACGCGGCACGGAGCTTCCCGAGGCCTTCAGCGGTCGAGTCGCCTCGAATGCCCTCGTCGATGCTGATGCCGCCCTCTGGGCCGGGGACCTTGCGGTTGCCGAGCTGCTCACCGGTGAGTTTGACGACTTCGCTGTCGAAGTATCCCGCGTCCCACGCGGCCGCGGCACGCTGGTGGCTCTGAGCGCCGAAACGGTCCTGGTCTTCGCGAGTGACGCTGTACTTGTCCGCGATGTGCTCCGCGGCGTTGCCCATCGGCCAGCACTCGAACGCACAGCGGAGACCGTCGAACGCCATGTGGTCTTCCATGGTGCCTGGGCCGTACTTGATGCCGTTGCGGACATTGGCAAAGTGTGGCGCTGCGGTCATATTTTCCATTCCGCCCGCGATGACACAGTCGTTGTCACCCGCTTTGATGGACTGAGCAGCCATCATCACGGCTTCGAGACCCGATCCGCAGACCTTGTTGATGGTCTTCGCGGAGAGCGTGCTTGGGAGTCCCGCTTTGAGTCCCGCTTGACGAGCCGGGTTCTGACCGAGTCCTGCTTGGAGCACGCATCCCATGATGCATTCATCAACATGATCCTTCGCGGCAGACGCGTCATCCAAGACTGCTTCAATCGCGAATGCACCGATCTGAGGCGACGCGACACGCGACAACGATCCAAAGAACTTCCCGATCGGGGTACGACGAGCGGCAACAATGACAGGCTGATTCGACATCAAAGACTCCTTCACAAGCCGGGTCGTGCCGGCATGAGTTCAAAACTGGTGGGCCAATATCCTAGGAACCCATGCCAACAATACCCAGTATCCGAATCCCCTCAGAAACCGAATACCGATCCCATATGACCACAAATCCCGCATACTCACCAACTTCCCGCAAGCGCGGATTGTTCCACAGCAAATCGTGGCTCTGGGTCGAGTGGGCGGGGTTGTACGTGCTCACGCCGCCGCTCATCGCCGCGCTGTCCCAGCCGCGGCTGGCTGACGAACTGCTGAATCGGATCGGACTCGACTCGCTGAGCTTCGAGACCGGACTCCCCTCGGGATTGTTCATCTTTCCGGTTCTGCTGGTGACCTTCCTGACCATGCTCATCTATCTCCGCCTCGACCCCACCTTCGACAACGCTCGGCTCTGGAAGCTTGCGGACCTTAGGTCAGCGCTCCCAAGGATCCTGATCACCTTTGCGATCACCGGCCCGATCATTCTCTTTGCGAGCTGGTACTTGGCGCATCACACGCCGTACCTTCCGGAGTCTGGATTCCTTCGATTGCCGCGTGAGCTGCCGATCCTGATGCTGATGATCTCCATGCTGTATCCCTGGGTCAGCGCGTATCCGCAGGAAGTCACGCATCGAGCGTTTTTCTTCCATCGCTACGCGCCGATCCTTGGCACTGGTCCCACAATCCTCATCCTCAACATCCTCTGCTTTGTGTGGCTCCACGCGCCGATGTGGAATCCGATCGCGCTGATCATGACGCTCCCGGCGGGGATCATCTTCGCGTTGACTTACCTGCGCACGAAATCTGCACTCGCCGCGGGATTCGAGCACGCGATCTACGGCATCTGGGCGTTCGCGAGTGGGCTGGGGTATTTCGTATTTACCGGAAGCGCTGGGTCGGTTTAATTTTCGACAGTGAATAAAGCTCACTGTCTCTGTGTTGTCCTGCAGAATCTACCACATGAAAGGACAACAACATGAACTCGCAGAAACACACGACACTCACTCTCGCACTCGCTGCGGCATTCTTCGGAATGCCTGTATTCACCACCCAAAGCTTTGGACAATCCACACAAGCACAATCCACTATCGCGGCTGAACCGGTTCGGAATATCGAGGAATGGGACATTTCCAAATCAAATCTCGCGATCGATGGATACGACCCTGTCGCCTACTTCCCTGAAGGGGGATCGAAAGCAAAGAAAGGCAAGAAATCCATCAGCACAACATATGAAGGGGTCACTTACCGATTCGCAACTGAAGAAAATCGAGATGTGTTCCTCGCGAATCCCGCGAAGTTTGAGCCTGCATACGGCGGGTGGTGCGCCTGGGCAATGAGCAAAGGGAGCAAAACGGAGATCGATCCCAAGTCGTTCATCGTCAAGGATGATCGGCTCTACCTCTTCTATAAAGGGATCTTCGGAAACACCAAGAAAGACTGGCTCGATGGCGATCACAGCCAACTCGAGAGCAGCGCGGACGATGAGTGGAATGCAATCTCAGGCGAATCACCACGATTTGGGAAACCCGCTGATCAGTGACTCGGCATCTCGTAGATCGCTCCGTTTTCCAAATCCGTCTCGCCGGTCACGCACGACACGACCTTCGCAGCGACCTGTGCTGGAGTAAGTGTCGCGCTGCTCGGGAGTGCGGACTCTGGGAGGAACGAGCGGAGCATCTGCGTCTCGATCGCGCCTGGACAGATGGAGTATCCTCGAACACCTTTGTCGCCGTATTCGTTCGCGACGGCTTTGGCGAGGACACCGACTGAACCCTTGGCGCAGCCGTAGATCCCCAGTCCTGCAAACGGATCGATCTGCGCCATCGATGAGACATTGACGATGACCCCATCGCCGCGCTTCGACATGTCTTTGACGACGCGCCGTGCGAGATCGACCGGACCGATCGCGTTGACGGCGAACATCGCGTCGAGCTCCTCGTCTTCGATCCGCGCCATCTTGTTGAAAATCGCGAGCCCCGCGTTGTTCACGAG